TGAGGTTTGAATCCCAGATTTGTCTCTTTCTAGCACAGGCACCTCAGATGCCTCGCTTCCCCTCTCTGAGGTTCACATTCTGCATATTAATGGGGCGAGTGCAGTACCCACTACCCAAGGGTTTCTGTGACCCGAAATGAGAAAGTAAATGTAGCTTTGGAAGGGAGCTGGGTACACTAAGTGCCCCGCAGCCCCACAAGGCTCTGGAGGGCGAGACTTACAAGCCTTGTCCAGCCCAGGAGGTGGGGATCCAGCCATGCTCATGGATGTCATCTCCCCCACACCCAAGATGGCTTTGCCAAGCTTTCCTTTTTGGTTTATTTTATAGGGACACATTAGAATCTTGGAGTAGTGTTATAGTTTGACAGAAAGCTATACATTACTTTGTAATTTTATATTATTTAAACAAAAACTCAATGGAAGTATTTCGAACCTCTGGATACACAAAAGTATCAGCATATTTCCAGGTCAAAGAAAGCCACAGGCTGACTAAACAGGCAGAAAGTTCAGGGAAAGACATCTGAAGGCCAGAGAGGATACAGACTGGGGCAGGTGGGCAGGGAGTAGTCAACAAAATAGCAGAGGGTTTGGGGGGAAGCTGGGCTCAAGCTCACCTCTTACTCAAGGGCGAGTCCCGTTTTCTGCTGTTTAAGGTTTGGAAGGAAAACACAGACATTCAGGGGCAGAAAGCCCCTGCCTGGTGCCATGTTTATAAGAAAATGCCCTCCAGAGCCCCAGACCTTCAGTAAAGGTGCCACATTCATAGGTGCCATAAGCAGTGTTGGTTGAAATCGGACCCACCAGGAGGGGAGGTGTCTTGGGAGACCAGGGAGAAGAACACGACAGAGGTGAGCATGTCCCACCTGGCACCTGGGGACTTTCAGAAGTCTTGGGGAACACATCCAACTCTCCGCCTTAAGGGGGCTGTTGGCGGCAATTTGCTGAGGCTCTCCAAGCCCAGGGAAATCTCAGCTGACACTGGGTGGCCAATGTTACTGCAAATTATCCCCACAGCAACCCTGACAAAGGCATTACTGCCCCCACTTTACAGATGAGTAAATCAAGTCTCAAGGTGTTGCATGATGGTCCGAGTCACAGGGCCAGTATGTGGTGACGCAGGACCAGCACCCAGGGGAGCCAGGCTCCACGCTGTACATTCACTCTCCCTTCGGGAGGCCAGAGCTTCTAGGAGGAACCCAATTTCAGCCCAGGTCCTCTTTGAAATGACAAGAAACTCTAACCTTAAAACGCCTGCCTGGGAGGAAAAGGCCACTCAGCACAGCTCCTCTAATGCTTGCTTTTAAAATGGCTTTAAAATATCATCTTTTAGAAATGTGTTAGGATTGTGCTTTTGCAAGCTCCACCCCACCTGGTTCCCCGCTGTTTGTCGACTTGGAGACCTCTCAACCCACCAGCTCCCCTCCTCCACCCGCCCCTTCAGTGGCGGCTCCCAGGGCAAGCAGAGGACAGAGCACCGAGTTCCACTCACTCATGTAGTTCACGGGGGACACTTTCTTGGGCTTCGTAGGTCTGATCACCCTTGGCTGGACCCAGACGTGCTTCTCTTCAGGAATGGGAGCCGTCTCCACCTCGTTCATCTCGTCCGTTTCAGGTTTTTGATTGTACGTCTCTTCTTAATAGTGACGAGGGAGAGAAAAGTAACAAGCTGGGATTCAACCAAAATGCATCTTAGAGGGAAAAAAAAGCAGTTTGGAAACTGAACTTATTTGCAGTTTGGCTTCACAAAGGGTCACTTCAGCGGCAAAGAGAAAGTTTCATTTCAGAAAAGAGCTGGCCAGGTGGAACTCTCCCTGCCAGGGGGGCGAGAGATGGCTCTCTGCTCACTGTGTTTGCCTTGGACCCCAGAGCAGCTGGGCTGACCAGAGGTTAGAGGGCCCCAGCGCCCACACCTGGATTATCATAATGGTTTCTTGTCCCACCTCCGCCTGCACACCACCATCTGCCCAAGGAAGCAGCTTCAGGAAGCTGCCTCATCCTCTGACCCCAAACCCTAGCTGTATCCCTTGAGGTCCCTCTGTCCCTGGGTTCTCACGGTGGGAATGGTCCTCCAAGGCATACTACGACCCGTGTGGATGTTTCTGGACCCCATGGCCCCCCATCACCCACACATTCTGCACCCTTCTCCACCCTTAAGAGTCAAGGTCACTTAACCAATTCAACTCCTTTTTCTGCACTGAAGTCTTGAAGCCCAATGACACTGGACCCATCATGTTAGAGCCAAAGACCCAACTCTTGCTTAAAAAATCATTAGTTCATTGGGTCCCAATCTTCCCCACCCAAATTGTATGATTTCTCCAACCATGATCACGACCCCCATGTTTCAAAACGTTCTAATTAACAGAATAAATTGCATTTATTAAGCATCAGTTTATCTTCCAGTTTTCATCATGAAAGACAACTATAAACCACTCACTGTAATCTGTAAACAGACCACCATGATACCAAACCATAAATTCCAGCCAAAGCAAAGCAGGCTTGTTGTTTGGGTTTGCCTGAGCACCCTTATCAAAGATGAATTGGTGTACATCTCTACCAGGGACCCTCATTTCCTGAGAGATGAAAACCAGATGAAACCAGAGGTGTTTCACTGGCCAATTCATCACTGCACAACCACTCCCTCGACTCAGGCAAGCCCTGGCCCAAGAGGAAAGTGGGTGGGTATTTAAGACAGAGGAGAACAGAAATCCTGAGTCCCAAGTCCAAAGAACATCAGAGTTCATGGACTTCTGCATACTGCTCACCACCATGTACCTCCCCCACTGGCTATAACTCCCCTGAGGCCAGCAGCCAGCCTGCTCCTCTCCCAACTCTACACCCAGCTCCTAGCACGTAGCAGTTGCTCAACAAAACTGGCTGAATGAAGGATGATCAAAACCCCTAAAGAATTTTGCCTTTGAGCTCTTTTAGGGGGAAAAAATCCCCCACATAGTCCCAACAAAGTTTAGAGACACTCAGGAAGGGAATTCTGAACACACCATTTGTAGCCGAATGCTATAGGCGAAATCTTTACAAAGACAGTGGGGGTGCAAACGCCACGTGGGACACAGCGGCTGTCTCTGGTCTACCTTCCCGTCAATGTGGCTATTCAGGTTCACCCTTCACTCAAAGCCAGAGCTGTCTCTGGAATAAGCTGGGTTTTCTTCCACTGGCCTTAAGGATTTTTATACCTCATAATCACGGCTTTATTTAGCTGAATATAGTTCGGTAGAGCAGTCGACAGCATTTGAGGGCTATTTCAGAAAATGGGCAGACAGTCCTCACCCTCAGATACACACATGAAAAGTGGAATGCTTACCCAAAGGACGGGCTGTATTTGAGCATATCCTAATTAAATCCCCTGTGTGGACCAGCACAGGCCTGGGGAAATTCCATGCCTGAGTTCACTGCCAGGTTACTCTGCACACCGTCCAGCTGCGGACCACGGGGTCCCAGGGCACAGAGCATTGCTAGGTCATTCTGCAGACTCCCACCTACTTCTCTAAGTGGTGACAAAGCTCACAGTTCATGTCAAGCTCTCTTTCTGTTGCCCTGGGAGGCATGAGCAGCCCCATTTAATAGATGGAGAAATCGAGGCTCAGAAAAGCTATGTGACCTGCCCGAGCTCACACACCTCAGAGTCAAACCACCTTTCCCCAAAGGCCATATCCTTCATTGCTACACAGGGAAAGGCTGGAGGGATGGAAACTTCTCTTATGGTCTATCCTTATCCCTGTTCCATCTCCATTATAGGTCAAGGCCTTGCCAAGCACCTCAATAAACGCTTATTAAGTAGCTTATGCAGATAAGCCGCTTTAGAGGCGACTTTCTGCATGGTTAGCTAAGAAAATCAGGATGCTTGCCAAGTGAAATTGGGTATTTTCCACCAAAAATAAAGAATCAAGTCCAGGAGGCTTCATTGGGTGAATTAACCAGCATCTAGGTTATTTCTGAGAGCATTTGTTCTTTGAAAATGACTGTGGATATTGGGGCTATATTTATTCAGACAACATATGGAACACACCTGTTACATGCCCCTGGAAGTCCCTCAGTGATCGGGCTGTTGTAATTACAGGTGATTCAAGTTCAAGGAGACTGTGGGTGCAGTAAGAGCATGGAGGCAGGTGTAGTGCCTGTCTGTGGAGTCAGGAAGGCTCCCTGGAGGAGGTGTGACACCAGAACTATTCCCAAGGAGGAGAAGGCATCTGCTGGGGTCCTGAGAGGGATAAGGTCCTGAGAGGGATAAGGCCCCCAGGCTGGGAGAGGGCCCGCAGTCCCCACCAGGTGAGGAAGGACCCAAGGCCAGGTGATGTGTGTAGCCCTACCACCTGCCCCCACTTCTCCAAGGATGTAGTGAGCTGTGTTCAGAAAGCACTGACATATGTGTGGGCTGCTGTCCTAGCAGCTCCCATCCTCCTTGCTACATCCTCCCAGCAAATCACCTGCAGGAGAACAGTATCATCACTGTTGCAGGTGGGGAAACCCAGGCTCAAAAGGGCAAGCATTTTGCCTGAGCAGACACAGCCAGTAATGGAGAGACGTCCTGCCCTGCCTGCCTCGCACCCCGGCAGCCTGGCTTGTGCCCGCTCGGAGCCCTCCTCCCAATGGGAGACCCATGGGGAGTACTAGGGGGCATCCCTCCATCACAGCTCCCAAACAGCATCAGGATCTGATGGGGGACTTGACGCCTCTGGGTGACCAGACCGGAGCAGCCACAGGACCTGCTGGAATGGGAATTTGGGGAAGGGCCTGATACTCCTCCAGGGTCAGCCTGCCTGCTTCCCAGCCCTCTCATGATCCCCAGGGGCTGACACATCACCCCATTTTCACACAGGAAGACTGAAGATCAGAGAGATGAAATGAGCTGCCCCAGTCCCACTGCTGGACTGTGCAGAGTTGATATTCCTAAGGCAAATGGGTCAGACTCTAAAACCCCTGCTTGCCCCACAAATCCAGGACCTAGATTGGGGCTATTTAGGAATATTTCACTCAGGACTGGTGTGGGTAGTCGTGTCTCAAAGACAGTGAAGAGGTGTTGCCTGAAATGGGTGGGGAGCAAGAGAAATTCCATTTAATATATGCTTATGGAGTCCCTCCTGCATGGCAGGTAATGCCTGGATCTGCACATCTTGGTGGGGCTTTCTGCCTCCCTGTCTCATGACCATGCTGCCTCATGCCTTCAGGCCTTTGCACATGCCATTCCTCCTGCTGGAAACACCCTTCTCTTCTCTCATTCCTAGGCTAGGTCTTCCTCCTCAAGAGTCGCCTGCTCCGGGAAGCCTCCCCTGACCCAGCTGAAGGTGGATAGTCCTGCTATGAGCACTGCAGCATCCATTATCTCCCCTGGAAGAGGCATATCCATCCCCACTGGGGGCAATGGCTCTGCTGGACCGCAGGTTCCCCAGGGCAGGACCGCAACTGTCTGGTCCCCCAGTCATCCCCAACCATATCACCTACCAATGTCCTGGCACACAGCAGGCGCTCAATACAGTCACAGCAAATGCACTGACTCTCTCATTTGAGCCTGAGATACATTTGGGAAGACTGGCGTTATCATACCCATTTTGCTGATGGGTAGAGTGATCGAGTGGGTTAAGCAACCAGCCTTCAATCATGCAGATCCAGAACCAAAAGCCTCCTGTCCAGGCTGTGGGTTGAGGCCCCTGTGTTCCCCCTGGAGACTCTGTCACCTGCACATAACTCACGACCCCAGGGGACCAGCATAGATGGACTGTCGGATCTTTGTTTCTCTCCCTTACTATAACCCCCCCACCTCAGTGGGCAGAATCAGCAGCAAACAGCTGGCCTGAGAGGGTCTGGAACCCCCACTCTTCACCCCAGAGCCCACTGGACTGACCCTATGTACCCCCAGCAGGGAAGGCCCGGCCCAGAGGGCTGCTCCCTCCTGCCCCTCCCAACCCTCCTGAAAAGCGTCACATGACCCGTTGATGGAGCCACGTGAAAAAACACATCCCAGCCACAAAACCACGGGCAGCCCCTTGGCCCAGCTCTGGGACGGAGCCTGAGGAAATAGTCCTAAATGTAAAGAGCACTTCAGGCTTGAAAAATGTGCGTTATTTACAGGAGAAAGGAAAGTGGAAACAGATGAGTGGCTGACAATGAACAAATGGTGGAAGAGCTGGAAAATACACAACCTCTGAAAGCCCCGGCCTGGCCTGAGCTGTTGGCGAGGGGAACGCAGAGGTTGTGAGGAGTCAGGTGAAGCTGCAAACATGGGCAGGTGGCTGGTGAGGGCCATAGACCGGCAGGAAGGGCTCTGACAATCCACGGGGATGGCCCCTGCTCAGCCTGCAGCTCGCCTGGAACATCTGTTATGTGTCTCTTTTCAATCGTGCTTGTTTTATACCAAATTCTGAGCACAAGAGGGCAGGGATATGTCTGCCCAGGGGGACCCTACCGGGGGATGCCCCTGGTGGGGGCTGGAGCTGAACTCCGAGTCTGGAGCTGGGGCTCTTCACGTGCTCGAGGCAGCAGAGAGGGGCATCAGGAAATGAGGCGAGCACTAGGTCAAGGGTGGCAGGGACTTGTCGTCCAATTTCCCCATTTCACGTAAGCTGCTCTGTGACTCATGGGCGGAAGGGGAACCCATTCCAAAGGGTTTTGAAGTGGTTTCCTACCTCGGTAACACAAGTTGTTCTTGCAGCTGCCTCCGTAGCTGGACGGGCACTCGGAGCAGGGCCGGCCAGTTCTGTAGGGGGCCTCTCCAATCCAGTTTCCCCTGAGAACAGACCAGAAACACCATCAGGAGGGTGCCCCTCTCTCCTTCCTGGACCCTCTTGGGGCCCCGAACACCATCAAGGAGGAAGGAAGGTGTAAAGGGGGAAAGGCACCTGCCTGGGGCCCACCCTGTGCACAGTCTAGAGAATTCTAAGAGAATCCCAGTCCAGAGCTACGAAGCATCCTTCTCCCTGCACCTTTCGTCCGTGGCCCCATGCCTCCTCACATTGCTCCCTCACACAACTCTGAACACTGTCAGCCACCCCAAGCCCCAGCTCCAATGCCTCTGCCCTGGAAGCTGCTGGGATCCGCTTTGAAGCCATTTCTCAAATGAGTAAAGGTCAGCCTGTTCCAGGAAGTGCCTTGTGTTTACCCAGCTCTTACCACATACCCATCCACTCACTCCATCCCTCCGACATGCCAGGAGGGACATGTTGGAATTCAATCCTTTTTCAGAAGAGGAAACTTGAGGCTCAGAGAAGTTAAGGGACTTGCCTGAGGTCACAAAGCGAGTGAGTGGGAGGGCCCGGAGTTGAACCCAGGCTGTAAGGCTTAGAGCCTCTGACCACACTCTGCTCTAGGGGCTGGGACCAAGGTCCCTCTGGCCATCTGTCGTCCTCTGAAGTTCCCAGAAATCCTAGAGGCCGCTCAATGGGATCTCTCCAGGGCCAGGTAGCAGGTAATGAGCAGAATTTCCAAGGCCTTCTCATAGCGCCTGGGCCCAGTTGGAGTGGTGAGTGACTGGGGACTAGTCTTTGGGATTTATTCTAGAAAGTTCCTTCGGGATTGTCCCAGTCATCCACTGGTTCACTCGGAAAACAGACTGGGTACCGCGCTGCTGGGCCAAGCATAACCCCAGCCTTCTCCGGCTGGATGCTGAAAACAAACTCCAGGGCTGGACCTGGTCCTTCCAGCTGGGTGACCCTGCCAACTCTATCCCACCCGGAGCCTCTGCTTCCTTCTCTGTGATGGGGTCACAGCAGGGGTCTGTCATGAGCTGGAGGCAGTGGCCGTGGACACCTCAGACCCAGGCCAGCTCCTGATAGAGGCTGCACGCTCTCCAGCATTTGCTAAACCAACACACTCATCTGGATGACAGCTTTCCTGTGGCCAAGGAGGGGTCCTGCTAGTGTTGGCCAGGAGACAAACTGCAGAAAACACACTCTCTGTTTGCCCTCCGATGGCTCAAAATAGCTGAATGCCATCACCCAGGAGCACATGGGCATCTGGCCTGGGGATGGTGGGTGGGGGCCATTATCACTGGTACCCCACCAGTGACAAAATAACATCCTTGACCATGCTGCAGACCCCACTCCGCTGAGCACGTCTGCCCATGTGTAGGCTGCCTAGGGACTCACAGGGGGGTTACCTTCAAGGTGATCCCCGCAAGTGGAACATGGTCGGTGGACCCAGGGTGCCCCAGCACCTGCCCTATCACTGGGTGGGGCTCAGTAGGTCTGTTCAGAACATTTGGGCCCTCGGACTGGCTCCTCCCCTTCTCCAGCTAAGTTCAACAGCGTATGTAGGTTCCACATACAACCACAAACCAGGCCTCCCACATGGCTGGAGCAGTAACACTCCACGGGGTGAACATGAGGAGAGCACCTGTGGAGCCCCGGCTGTGTGCCAGGCCCTGCACCCATGTCTTGTAGATGGACGATCTCCCTGCTCTTCCAACAGCCCCTCAAAGTGAGTGTCCTCCCTGCATGCTCCAGGCCATCAAGACCCTCCACCCCACCCCCAACCAAAGGGTCTGAGCCCAGACACCGCCCCGGGGCCCACCCTCTAGGCCAGTGCCCCCTGCACAGCTGGGGGCTCAGACTCTTGAAGAAAGAGGCCATGGACACCATGGAAAACCACACAGCCATCAACCAAACTGCCCACAAAACACAGAAGACCTCAGACGCATCTCACAGATGTGGGGTTGAGAAGCAGATGGTGGGCGTGGACTACAATGCTGGCCACTCTCGGGGGCACGAGGAAGCTACCCTCCCAGCCTGGGGCCCTAGAAATATTCCCTAACTTGACCTGGGTGGTAGGTACACGGGTATATACATCTTGTATGGGCTGAACTCATATATTGAAGCCCTAACCCCCAGGGTGGCTGTATTTGGGGATGGGGTCCCTGAGGAGGTGACTAAGGTTAACTGAGATCACAAGGGTGGGACCTTGATCTGACAGGATTAGTGTCCTTGTAAGAAGAGACACAGAGAGCTCTCTTTCCCCTCCCTCTTTCCCTCTTTCTTTCTCTCTGCCTCTCCCTCTCCCTCCGCACACGCCGAGGAAACACCATGAGAAGACATGGGAGAAGGCAGCCACTTCTGAGCCAGGAAAAGAATCCTCACCAGGAACTGACTCTGCCAGACTCTAATCTGGACTTCCAGCCTCCAGAGCTAGGAGAAATGTCTGTTGTTCAAGGTGTGCAGTCTGAGGTGTTTGTTATGGCAGTCCAAGCTGACTGATACATGTTTAAATGTATGAAAATTTATCAAGCTGTGCACTTGGAATTAGTATATTTCACTGTACACGGGCTTTTATATTTCAAGAAAGGGGGAGAGGCGAAATAAGGGAAGAATGTTATTTCTAAAATGGTATTTCTCCTAGTGTATTTTTTAATATAAAGACTCAAATTGAATTATTCCTCACTCCTCACCTGCCACTTTTCCAGGAGTTCCACTATGGTGTGGACCCGTTCATTGGTCTCCCAGGGGCTCGGGTCCCTCCCATCAATGATGTAATCCCCCTGCCTTCATTGCTGTGGGCTGCTGAGACACTGTCACCACAGGCATCCCGGATGGTTTATGAAGGGCTTCCATTTTCCTCCCATCCTCAGCGATTTCCCTTCTCATCCCACCTTCCCATGGCTGCTCCTGACCCAACCCAATACATGAGGTCATTCCCATTTCATTTGGTCACTGAGAAAAAATGCCTCAAGGGCCCACTGAGTGCAAGGACTGGTGCTAGGATAGCGGCCAGTCCAGTGGCCAGCGTACAAACCACAGGCTGTAAACTGGGGGAGCCGTTCTTCCAGAATCAGCACATGTTTGTCTGATGAGCAACGGAGGTGAATGAGTAAAGGGAAAATGACACATTGATGATATCAGGATGCTATAAGGAGGAAGAGGGATTATGACATAAAGACTTGAGTAAGCCCTGTCTAGAAGGGGAAATATAAAGATGCAAAAACTAGGTCTAGCATGAATACCTATTTTCTAGGTGTCTGCTGCATTTTTTCAGAGAGAAAAAAATCACTATGGCAGACAGTACTGGTTGCCCAGCCAACAGCTATTCCTGCTTCTGACTTATTCAGGTAGTCCCAGAGGATGACTGCAAAGCCAACTGGGGCAATTTCACTGATCAAAGCCACCTGGGGCAGTCTCGTTCCCCCTTGTCTATGAGTGGTCTAGTTCTGGCCAATGACATAAGGAGAAAGTGGGCCGGGGTGAGAAAGGCCTAAGGAGAGAGCTCCTTTCTACCATTCTCCTCCCTTCTATTTGGGAGGATGTGATGCCTGGTGCACTGCAGCCATCTTGCGACCATGAGGAGAGGACCACACAACAAGACAGACAGAGCCTGACATTGCTGAACTAGTAAGCTAACCCGGACGCACCAACCTCTAGATGCCTTGTTTTGTAAATAATGAAGATATTTCAACATTTAAGTCAGTTTTAGTTGGGTCTTCCATGGCAGCCAACCCAACCCAACCCATAAAACAATGTCATTTGTTCCTACTTTGGAGAGTAATTGCAGACAAGGTAGACCGCATTCTCCCAAACATCTCCCCAGACATTCATCCTCTGGCAGGTGTTCACAGCGCAGCCAACCTTGGTGGTGGTGGCCCAAACGATCTGAAAAGATAACCCATATATCAGAGCTCATGAGGCAAGGCTCACCAGGGTGACATAATCTGGCCTGGATCCAGAGGGTGCTAGTGCCAAAGGGGTGTGTGGTAAAGGAGTGAAGGACCAGATTCTTTCCCGAACCC